TGAATTCTATTTTAATCATATCTCACTATTTACGTAAGGTGATTTGTATGATATTGTAACTACATAAAATTGTGTAATTATTGAAAGAAAAAATTGTTTGTAAACTCCATTTTTTATATTTGTAATTTTTTGTACGTATAGTCTATTGAGTTATATTCGAGTTTGCTATCGATCTATATTCTTTCAGTCTTGAACTAGATAATAAAAATGGGACGGAGTTAGTATCCACTGTGATTAAAGACTTTCAGTCCTTAATTTAGATGATAATTCAAATGAGAGTCAGTAATAAGCAGAAAATAATGATAATATTTTAGAATAGTTTATTTTTAGATGGACATTGTCATAATTCTGAATCGAAATTGTACATATATTTCATTATTTAAATCATGATCGGAAATGTATTATATGTTTATTCGTATATATGATATCACATCAGACTTTGTAACCGAAATAATGATAATCGCGCTGGCGAAGATTAGCAAGGAAGATAACTGAATAACGTTTTACTATATTGACGTTGTTTTGTGTTTTTGCGTATGTGATAAGGATAGGCTGATTAGTATATTTCGCGGAAGGAATGCAGGAAATTACGTCAAGCAAAATTATGTTTTATTTATTAGTTAGGAACGGAGATCTTTTATTATAACCAATTACGTGCGCTTATCATGACTTTACTTCCTCGATGATCTTTAACTGTATGTAATATGTATAGCATATTTTGAACTAAATGATGCGATGTCGTAAACGATTTCTTTCTGTTAGTGATAGCTCATTTCTTCATTTTGCATCTTATTTTAATAAAATATTTAATTTAACCAACAATTTTATTGAACGATGGAGATAAGAATGTATCAACCACTAAGTAAACCACTATAAATAAATTTTATAAAATTATAGATAAAGATTAATTGGATCTTTTTACTGAAAAATTCTACAACGGATCTGTTTTGATGAATTCGAACGTTCGACAAATAGCAAACATGAGAAATATGTCATGTAACAGTCGAAAACAAGTATAAGGATTAGTTCATAAGGAATGTATTATAATGGTACTTTTATAACATAAGGTAGTAAATAAATCATGAAGTAATGCAATTAAATCCGTTTCATCACGTCGTTTGACTTTCTAATAAATTTTAATGATGTCGTTTTGCTTGAAAGTCTCGTTATTATTAACGATTTTTTCTTAATATTTAATCAGAAAGATATTTAGAAATAATATTATACATTGAATTAATAAACCTAAACGTTAATAGACATGCTCGTATTTCGTGCTACACTTAGAAAAACGTAAACATCTTTTAAATTGTATAAATTTTTAATATTAGCTTTTGTTAATTAAAGGAAGTTTTAATTTTATAAATTGTTTCGTTTAGCGCTGTACTTTATAGCATTATGCAACAAGTTCTTCTAATCGTAATCTATTTGATTTTCCAAACCGAAGTAAAACAAAATGAACAACGTCTTGTATTGATTTATTACAGTTCAAGCAATATGAACTGCAAAATATGAAAATATGAAATAATTCTTTCTATTATTATCAGAAAAAAAATATATATGTATCTTTTAGAATTTTAACGATCGTTAACTCGTCGCTTTGCAATAATAATAATAATACAAAAGAAACAATATAATCTAGAGAAAATTAATAATCTAGAATTATCCGCTTGAGAAGTTTCCTTTGTACATTATATCATACTTTTTTGGTATTCTCCTATTTCAAATTTATATCTAAATCTTTTTGCAATGTTAAATTGACTCGAGGAATCTCATTTAGATAACAGTTAAAATTGTTAAGTAGAATAGTATGTGAATAAATATATATTGATAAGTTAAAATTAGATCAACTTTGAATGTTTAGATATCTAAAATCTACAAGTATATTAAAAAGTAATATCTCTTTTATGATAAAATATTTTGGCTTTATCTAAACTTCAAGAGCTTGATATATCAGATAATAATCTTGGAAGATATCATGGTTATAGTTGGTCCCAGCTAGAGAATGCTGAAGTTAAGAACAATTTACTAACTCTAAATTTGAATAATGATTCGGTAACATTATTCAGCTTGTATTGTGAGATTAAATGTTAAATGGATTTTTATTATTTATAAAAAATTCTTAATCATCGTTGTTATTATTTTATAAATTATTTATTTTATAAATTAGATGCAAATTTTAAGTTTAATATTAATTAGTGGGTCCTTTTGTTAAATGTAATATATGTTGATATGCTAGGCAAAAGTAATAATTAAATGTGTAACAACTGCAATCACAGAAATGAATATATTCAGATGTTAGGATTAATTAATTAAATTAATGTGTTTACGCAGATTTATGTAACAAGATGTATACATGCAAGAACATAATTTGCAATATAAATTACATTGAATGCATATGAAGCTCTTTTAATTGATTAACTGCTCCAATAAATTCGGAAATTATCTTTTTTGATATTTGAATATTGTACAGTATTGAAATCGATTGTTTTTGGAAACATTTTAATAAGTTTAACAAGATATTTTGTGAAAAAGAATTAGCTTTAATAAAATTTTCGACATACTTGAAAAAACGATAATATTATAAAAATATGCGTAAACATATTTTCACTTATGTTAATTATTCCTTGTACTTTATAATCATTTTTATTATAATTATAACTTTTATTAAAACATATTAATATATAATAAAATATTTGTTAAATTTCATTTCAATTTATACCTATTCACCTATTCAAATTTTATTAAAGCTAACTCAGCTTTAATAGAACTGAAAATATATGTTTACGAATATTTTTATAATATTATCGTTTTTTCAAGTATGTCGAAAATTTTATTAAAGCTAACTCTTTTTCACAAAATATCTTGTTAAACTTATTAAAATGTTTCCAAAAACAATCGATTTCAATACTGTACAATATTGTAATATATTGATAAAAATCTATAAATAAAAAATGTATAATTAAATTAACTAAGTTAACAATTAAATTTGCATCCAAGAAAAAAAAATTTACTTAGCGCATTCATTAATACTACACAAAAAAACTATTGCGCGCCGTAAAAATATCATGTTAATTGAACTCGAAGTGTTTCTTAGAAATGTTGTAAATATTCGTAAATTATTCGCTTACGTACGAGCGACAACAGAAAGATAACTAAAAGACTGTGGAAATCCGTGGAACTGGATTTCCTCGAAGAGAAATTCGAGAGGGAGTTAAACGGGATAATCGGATACAATTGGATGGTTCGCGATGTAGGGGACTCACAGTAGTAGTCAAAGTCAGAAACAACAAGACCCCTGGGTCGTTCCGATGGACGGCGTAGCGTGACGCGATGCGACGAGGCGGAGACGCGTGTCGCCTCACGTGTTGGGCGTAATACATCGCGTTTCCGACACGTGATGTGATGCCTCCTCGTCGCCGTCGACGCAGCGCGGCGCGGCGCGGCCCGACCCGATGTGATGTCTCCCTCCCGATGGCTGAAGAAACGCGAGTGTCGTCGCTCGCGGCTCGTACTGCTCGTAGTTGTCAGTGCGCCTGCGATTCGCGAGCATGAACAGAGACTGTTCGATAATAAGAGCGAGTGGCATTGTCCGTTCCAAGTGTTAAGTGGTCGGTTAATCTGTCGCTGAGTTTCGATAATCGCAATAGTACTTTGAGTAATTCTCGAAAATATAATTATAGATTTTTTAATAAAAAAAAAAAACAGATAGAAAGGAAAATAAATATATTGCGAACGGATTCTAGTATAAATTTAAGTAATAATATTCTTGAATGAATATATACGCTGTCTGTATATAATACATAATTCAGACAGTCGAAGTTATTATATATATAAAAAATATAAAATTGAACATTTTTCGTCGAGAAATCTATTTGGACTGAATTGCATATGGAACAGCTATTGCTACAAATTCTAAAAGTGTCCCAGTATATAGTTACTCGATATAGTGCGAACCATTTATGGGAACTGACTGATAAAAGTATTATTCGGAATCGAATTTTTTTCACGAGAAAATCGTTTCGAGAGTGAATTTTACCAACGCGATAGACTTCGATATAGAAGTTTATTTTCGAATGGTACACACGTGTATCGCGCGTATCGCAAATATTTAAAGAGAAACAATAAGGGTGACAATAAAGTGATTTTTAAGCGGATCGATACTTTTTTAAAGACCGTGGAAGATAAAAAGATACTTTTCCCCTTCTGTATTTTGCTATTCAAGGCAGGATGGTCACGCATAGTATGGATAACATCCTGAACATGCAATACTATCCGACGAACAGCCACGTCGATGCATCGGTGCATTCACCGCCACCGAGGAAGAGACGCTGTTTGAATAAAGAGGTGAATACGCATCCGCCAATCTAATTGGATGAAATCGATATCTTGTTTCTTTCCGCTCGGAAAAAAGGAAAGACGAACACGCAGTTTCGTAGCAATACAATGAAGAATTCGAACGCTATCAGAACGCATTTTTCTATCTAACTTGGAATCTTCTATCTCTCTCTCTCTCTCTACTTTTTCATTAGTAACATTTAATTAATCCTATATTATTCGTATGGTTTTTTAACGTAATTTATGTAGCATTCGCGGGAGCTTCTGGTGCTTCAACATTATTGTATCTCAAAGTTTATAGTTTTCTTTGATGATTTATAAATAATCAAATATTTATAATATTCTATATTCTTTAGATACAGATAAATTGGAACTATCAGAACGGATTGGATGTAACTTGGGATATTTTTTCTATTCTTTTATTAGCAACATTTAATTAATCCTCCATTTTAATTAACTCACGTAAGGTATTTCTGAATATTATATCCTCAATATTATATATATATATTAATTTTCATTGTTCTCTGATGATTTACAATTAAATAAAAATTGATAATATTTTATACAACTTTTAGATAGAGATAACTGCAAAAATTTTGTTGTTGTGAAACAATTTATCTTAAATATAATAATGTATATAAATTCATATTTAGTTTGAATTTGTAAAGTGGGAATGCTACACGCGAGTAATGAAGGGTTAACTGTATGGTTTTTGAAAAGGGTTAACGTCTGAATAAATTTACATGTGAAAAGAAGTTTGCATCGGCCATTCCATATATGATCCTTGAAGTAAAGCCACTATTTCATTCCTTCATTTCATCCTGATTTATGATCTTTAGGATCATTCTCTCTGCGCCGCGTATTTCGTTCCCGTTCTTGACGGGATGCACCGATTTATGCGCCGATCGCTTGCGTAATTTCGCATGAATGAGTTCCATGTAAAACGTTGTATTGGCCGCGTGCCAGGAACGAGCGTTACGTTACCGTGATTTGAATGCTACATACCCGTAAATCAGCATAAGTATCGAGGCGTCATTGTGACGTCGCTTTTGTTCGTTTGCTGTTTCAATCGCATAATTGAGGGGCAGACCGCTCGTTCCATTCTCTTGTAAAAATTTGTTTTGAAATGAATCCAGCAGGCGTTTGTTTGAAGGTTCGCGTCGATTATCTTCTCGACAAGAGCAAATTGTGGTTATCTAGAAAAGTAAGGCATGTTGTTTGTTTTTAAAGCAGACATTCGCGTAAGAATAGTTATATAAGATCCTATTATGACTTGGCATGATATTGTATGCAGATAATTATATTTCCAAATAAAATATTATATTTAAAAATATGATGTTATTATATTATATTTAAAAATAAAATAATTCAGAAAAGTTATATTGTTTTTAAAATAAACAATTAGTATGAATTTGATTGGAATATAGTAAGATTGTTAAGTAAATTGCAAATTATCTAAAGTTTTCGATTGTGACTATTCATTCACTCATATTAAACATTCGGAGTACGCGCTTGTCTTAATTCATTTAAAGAGTTTATTATTGAACATAAAATTATCAGGAACTGCTCTTATACGTATCAGCCTCATTTTTTTTCGTTAAACGTGAGACTTTTGCATTACATCACATTGCTTCGCGTCCGATCGCCGACGTTATCTTTCCGCATATTCGCGCGATAGATGAACATTTCAGCGAATTAAGCGGTTACTTAACTGACTGCGATACGCACCTCAAGATCGTGACACGTGGCACGTACAGATAATTGCATTCCAATAGCGAATCACGACGTGACCTTTAAAGATGATAACGTGTTTTAATTCATCCGTGATAGCGTAATTACAATCGCTACTTTCTCATTCGCGACGCAAATGTTGCTTTAATTAAGATATCCATGGGAGTTCATGGATGACCAGTAAAGATTGCTCAATGTGAGATCATATTTTAGAGTTGTAATTTTTTAATTGCAATAACAAAAGCTTCGTATAAATTTATCTGTTTTTGAAGGTCGGTATTTTAATTGTCTTTCATTAAATAACGCGTGATAACGCGAAAGTAAATTCAGTGTCATGTCTGACCATATCTTGACCGTTACTACTGCAAACAAAAATCAAATGTATCGATTTGCGTGAGTCATTTTTAAAGAAAGTATTTAGTAGGTAGAATTTAGTATTAGGTGTTGGAATTAATTCGTAGCGTTTTACAAGTGATGGGAAGTACTTTCATTAATGTATTTTTTAATGCTCATGTGAAATAAATAACATTTTTTCATTAAAAAACGCTACGAATTAATTCCAACACCTAATATTTAGAAAGTAATTAGTAGTATTACGTTTACAATTTGTTAAAATCTGAATAATTATTTTATATATTTGAATTTTTCGTTTATAAATATTAATAAAAACATATAAAAAATAAGAGCATAAAAAACCACAGCACAAGTTATAGTTTGTGATATTTAATTACTATTACATTAATTAAAACATTAAATGTTTCGACCACAATCTGGTCATCTTATTAAGTAATTCAATAATATTCTTAAAACGCAGAGTTACATCTAGTTGACATTAAATTCAACAGTCGAGAGTTGTAATTAAATAAACATGTTCTTTTATATGTGAAGATGCTTCATACAGTAATGTTACAACGCCAGTTGTCATATCAAGAAAAGTGTAGAACAAGAATTTCCAGATTCTGTTTTACAGCAAAAAAAAACCAAACGATGAATCTCAAGTATCTTTTACACAATTAGAATTTTGTCGTGACATTATGATACTTGAGATTCATCGTTTGGTTTTTTTTTGCTGTAAAACAGAATCTGGAAATTCTTGTTCTACACTTTTCTTGATATGACAACTGGCGTTGTAACATTACTGTATGAAGCATCTTCACATATAAAAGAACATGTTTATTTAATTACAACTCTCGACTGTTGAATTTAATGTCAACTA